TTGGTTACTCAGAATAACAGCCCTTTTCATTATAAGTTTCTAACAGGAGAAAATGTGCGGGCACTTCCTCTGCCCGATACAGCAGAAGATTGCTGGAAAATATTGGTCACACCCCCAGGCAAAGAAAAAGTCCCTTTCCTTAGGATAATGACATAGGCTACCCATACATGAGCTCAGGAGGTGGGAGGGAGGGGACAAGTTTCAATTAGAGGAGCTCCTGGGTATCCACTCTAATTAAAATGCCACAGTGTCACGTGTATTAAGCCCCATGTGTTTAAAATGGCCATGGGATGCTTTATCTATAGACGCTTCTCAAGCAAATCCCAGGACATCTTTCTCCCCTTGTACTCGGCCTTTGTGGAGTACTGCGTCCAGTTTTGGGCTCCACAATTCAAAAAGGATGTGGAGAAGCCTGAGAGAGTCCAGAGAAGAGCCACGTGCATGATCAGAGGTCAGGAAAGCAGACTGTATGATGAGAGGCTGAGAGCCATGGGGCTCTTCAGCCTGGAAAAGTGCAGGCTCAGGGGTGATCTGGCGGCCACCTATAAGTTTATGAGGGGTGCTCACCAGGATCTGGGGAACGACTGTTCACCAGAGCATCCCAAGGGATGACAAGGTCCAACAGTCACAAACTCCTCCATGACTGTTTCAGGCTGGACATAAGGAAGAACTTCTTTACTGTCCGAGCCCCCAAGGTCTGGAACAGACTGCCGCCAGAGGTGGTTCAAGCATCTACATTGAACGCCTTCAAGAGACATTTGGATGTTTATCTTGCTGGGATCCTATGACCCCCGCTGACTTCCTCCCCCTGGGGCAGGGGGCTGGACTCAATCTTTTGAGGTCCTTCTGGCCCTAGTGTCTATGAATCTAACTAAACCGTGTCAAATTAAATTTAAAGCGCCCTGCGGATATTTTAAAACATGCGGGGGCTTAACAGACACGATGCTGCAGTATTCGAATTAGAACCCGGAGTAGACTCTATTGATCAAGTCTGCTCCAACCTGTTCTAATTCGAATGCGAAGGAGCATGGTTATAGGCACCCATAGGTATTACATAGTGTCATTGATCAAGGCAACTAACGTACTAACTGAGCCTTGGAAAGTGGTGGCTGGACAGGGGATCTCAGCCTACAGATGTGAAAAGATTAGCTAAAGCTACATCCCTAAGATCCACTTGGGCATTGTCAAGAAAGTTACACTCATACACCAGTATTCAACTGCGTACAGCTGGGTCTTCTTCCCGGATATGGACAAATATCCTATGGCATTGTGGTAAAGAGGGGTAGGGAGGAAAGAATGAACAAGAGGAAAGGTCTGGGTGGGAATGCCGTGGGCAATGTGAACATGGAGATGGAAAGACTGCAAAGGAAGGTGTCAAGCTGCTCTTTCAACAGCAAGGTGGGGACTCTAGCAATAATAATCATTATTATTATTACTATTGCAACAGCACCCAGTAGCCACAGTCACAACACTGCTAGAAACCCAAACACCACTTTTACAATAAAATACTAAACTGTAAACTAGTCAATATGATTCAACATGATCAGCAAAACATTGTCAGGACCAAAAAACTGCTGCCAAAGGAGAAGATGGATCCAAGTAGTCCAGGAATTGTTTTTAACTAGAGAAGTAGAAGGACACCTTGGTGGGCTGTAGAGGAGGCACCCGTTGTGTCACAGTTGTGTTTCAGGCTCATTCTTTACATTGTGAGGGAGCAGTGGCCAGACAACGCCAGCCATGTCACTCCTTTGCATGCCAGTGGCTACAAAAACTGGTGTTCCTTAAATATGCCGACCCAGTGGGTTACATGGCTTAAGAGAACCCTTTATCTTGCAGTGACCTGTGGAACAATATGACAATAGTTGACCACAGCTGTAGATTATTACTATGCAGTCTCCATTCTGCAGATGGGAAGTGAAGACAGAGGGTCAGATTCTCACCACGCTGGCAGTTTAAATGGGCAATAAAATTCCACTTCCAAATTTAAGTAAAGAAGCCTTCAGGTAAAGCTATCAAACTATCAAAGCATCTTCAACATGGAGGTCCATACTTACCTTGAGATCATGCTGCCTTACGGAGGATGTTAGAACGAGTCTACAACTATGCAGACTCACTGGTCTGTCCTTACAGCAAGGAGGCAAAGCAAATACACAAAAGAGACTGTCATAGCCCATGGTCTGTAGGGGCTATAAAACCCCTCAATCCCCAGGAATTACTTTTGCACCAAACTCCTGTATTCTGGTACCAGGAGGAAAAGACAGGATTTGCCTATTCCAAATCAAAGGCATAAAAAAAGTCTCATTTCATCAGGGAATCCATATTATTTGTGGAAGGGAAGTCAATTAACAAAGCATTTTGCTAGCCTAGAGACGAACCAAGAAAAGCAGCAGTAACATTTTTCAGCTCAATGATATATTAATTCAAAGTCACTGAAATTATTTTTAGAGATTGTGTCCATATTACAAAGAAATCCTGGTGACTGGCGCTGACAGCAGCGCAGTTGTGATGGGCTTCCCTTGCAGTGCAGCTGTGCATAGGCAGCCCCTTTGCTACAGATCCCATAAAGTGCTTTAAAACATAGCAATCTCTGCATATTGTATGACAATGATCATATCAGAGCAGCAGAACATTCCTGCAATTCCTACACTGTAAAAATTATGAAGATCCTTCACACACTTATTTTTTCAACTCACACCCTGATTTTAAGGGCTTGATCCAATGGAAAGAGATGCTGCCCTTCAGAAAGGTTCTGGATCAGGGCCCATGGACAGCTGTTAACACATACCATGTTTTTTTGCAGTAAAGATACTGTAACATTGAAGCCTTTATGATTTTGCATAGCTCACTCAAGTCGAAGAACAAATGGGATAGAAGAGCCCAGAAATAACATAGTCACACAGGCCTGCATTGTGTTGAAAGCAAATAACACTACATTAAGCAGCCAATAAAAATATTGCTTATGACAATGATGATGGACAAAATAATTCATAAGACGACGTGTTGATAGGGAAAAAATGTTTCAACTTTCATGAAATCCCAGGCATGATGTTTGCTATGTAAGAATAATACATACGGGATGTGTCTACACGTTCATTAATGCGTTTTTCGTAATGCACATTAAAATTTAGTACCTCCATTGTGAGGGACTAGAAAAGGGTACATTAGCCCATTTTAATGTGCATTAGCAAAAACGCATGGCATTTTTTGTGATCCTGTAATGCACATTAAAATAGGCTAATGCACATTAAAGTACATGTGTAGTTGTGCCCACATGTAAAACAGGCTCTTCACATGAGCCTAAAATAGAGTTTAGCTGCCTGCAAGATTCCAGGTTTCTTGGACAACACAAAGATTGGTCCTGAACATTTCTGGTCCATTAAAATACTATGGCATCTTTTCGTAAGGGTAGGAGTGTTAGCCTTGGTTAAATTCCAACTCAGGTAAATATAATCACTTTGCTACATGTGATTATTGCAATACACTCTATAGAAGGCTACATCATACATCTATGCAGAAACGGAAGCTGGTGCAGACTTTGGCATGCCCTCCAGTGACGGGGGAAGTAACCTCTGTATATATTTTGCATGTCTTTTTGCAATGCACTTTGTGTTCCTTCATGAGGGAAGATACTTTATGAGCCAAAGCTGCTGCTCTTAGTAATTCTGAGCTGTCATAATGAGAAATTCCAGCAATAGAAGTCTTTCCACGCTTTCTCTCTCTCTCCTGTACAGAGAGGAGGAAGGAAAAAGGGAAAGAATCTCTACAAATGTATCTCGCCGAGATAAGCCAACAATGACTTTTCTCAAGGGCACAGTGAGGACAGCACCAACGTGCAATGATTGTGCTAAATGTGCCTGGGAAGCTCACCCTAAAATAAGCATGACACCTTGCCATGACTTGTTTTCCATCACAAGTCAGATGAGACCTCAACGGTTAAGCAGTGTTCATTTTGAGGCTTTACGGGCCTGATTCAAGACCCACAGCAATGAAGTGGAGCTTTACAGTGACTTCAGTGGGCTTTGTAAATTCACAAAGCCTGGAGGGTGAGTCAGAAAGCAGTTGGCTCAGTGTCAGGCAGAGTACCCTGGAGGAGTTAAGACAACACCTTGCATGGTGCAAGTTGCACCTCACACCACATTTGGCTTGATCCATTAAAGACACACAAACAGAAAACACAGCAGTGGCAGGTGCATACTTGTACATTTAAATGTACAAAGCTGACAATTTTGTCGTCTCAGGACTGTTATCGCCAATTCTGTGACTTGCTATAAAAGTTCTCAATCCCAGAGTACTTACTGTACCACAACTGGTTTATGAGTGGCTTGTTTTGCCTCTTTGGGAGGGAAGCTGGGAACCAGACCTCTTATTTTAAAGGCCAGTGTTTTTGCCTTTAAAGTTTACATCACCAAAAATAAGGGAGTAGAGAGTGAAAGCTGCTGTGAGGTCTGCCTTCCTGCAAATGTTCTGGTAATACAGCATGAGACTGGAAAGAGGATCAGGCTCTCATGCTAAATTTGACAAAAAAAAAAAAATACCCCAAAACAAAACAAGTTTCCAGCATATGTCTCCAATAATGTTTTTAACAGACTGGGGGACCAAAATGGCACTTTCTATTGTTTCACTAGAGAGTTCTAAGCTGGTATTTCACAGTAAGTACTGGTACCTAAATACAATTAAAGGATGTGCTAGACCTCAGCCTTGTATAGCACAATACCATCTAATACAGGGGTGGGCAAAATGTGGCCCTCCAGGCTATTCTATCTGGCTCGTGGCTATAGATAATTAATATTTATCTGCCCCTGGCTGCCTGTCATGCGGCCCTCAATGGCTTGCCAAAACTCAGTAAGCAGCCCTCTGCCCAAAATAATTGTCTGCCCCTGGATGTTTTCCAGCCACCATCAATACTTGCTGGTTACTTCATTCCTTCCCACCCCCATGAGCTCTGTTGCTGACTATCTTTTTAAACCAAAAGTTCAAATGGTATTGTTTTCCTATATGTGTATGTGTGTGCATGTGTATGCATGCACAAAACACACACACACACACACACACACATAATATGAAACCCCAAAATACCATGTCAAGGTGATTTCTCTTACCAGGGAAAAAACAAGCACACACAAACACACACCTGCCTAACAAGATTCAAAACATGTCAAAACTGAAACATTTAGCATCCATCCAGCCCCAGATTGCAGTACAAACAGTCCAAGCATGTTAACAAGTCTGCAGTCCACCTCTACAATGCTCATTCACAAGCTGCCCCTAGTTCACAAGACTGATTCTTTAGAAGGTGGCTCCACCGTGCTGGCTGGGTTGGAGGCTTGGTTCATGTGTGTTACCAGAGGTGATGTTTCCCCTTCAGATTTGCAGTTTGGAATCGCTTCTACATTGACTTCTTTTAGGTCCTGCTCTTTGTCCTTCATTTCTTTTTGATTCAGATAATGAAGAATGCCCGCTCCCAGGGCATCTCCTTCAACGTTCACAACAGTGGTGGTTCGGTCCCTGGGCAATGGTAAAAGCATACAGGCAGCCTTTTAACTTAAGAGGCACAATTCAGTGTATAGGGCCAAATGCATCCCTGCTATAACTCCACTGAAGTCAATGGAGATAGCGAATGGATATGCTTGGCTCATGCTGCATATGCAATGGCATTAGATATTCTCATTATGCCTTATCACAGTTTAAGCAGTGTGCAGTGCAAGTGTTTCATGGGTAAGCCCACCTTGGTTTCTACACTTCCTGCCAGTGTAGTGCTCTTCCCCCAGGCAGGGGGGGAAGCACAAGTGGTCTCCTCTGAAGCAGGTGTCCTGGCCTCTCTCATAGAAAAGCAAGTGCCAATTGTGTTTCCGGATCCTCAAGATCAAGCACCTTTACTGTACTGATCAATACTGCCATTGCCCCTCTCCCCGTCTCCAGTAGCACAGGAATTGAGAGCCCTGAATCCAATCCTCAACCCTGATCTCTGTGTTGGAAACTCTCAATTCCACTGCTGTTCTGGCATCAAAACTGCAAGCAGCACCGAGTTGCCAAGTGTACCTATGGATGAGGCAGGCCCTACAGCTTGCCTGTCATTAGGGATAACATGCTCAACCATGCACACATGGATATGGATACTCTCTTACAGAGCATAAATGGGATTTGTTTGTTCATGGTCTTCTCTGCCACTCAGCTAATTTTCATTGGTGTCTGTGTGCGCCCAGTTTTTCATAATCTTTTTTCTCTGCCTTTGCTGTATTCGCTGTCTCCCCTCTGTACAATGAAACCTAGTAATAGTCTTGCCTGAATTTGCAGACCCTGATGTTCAGGTAAGCATAAAACCAGGCAGAAAGTGCTTGCCCGACACTAGAGCTTCTGTCTTAGCTTGGCCCCACGTCATATCCCACTGCCCTTTGGCCATACCACACAAAATAATGTAACATGGATACAATTTAATGGAAGAAGGTTTAAAGGCCATCTGGTTACTTTGAAGTGGTAGAGATGATTAAACTGATGGGTGGCTGGTAAGAAAGGGTACATTCTCTTCATCTACACTTAGTCATTTTCTGGTCTAATTTTATCATTATGTGCTTCACTTGTGACTTTGTACTGTTTGGTTACTTAATGTTTTATATGCAGACATGTCACAGGACCATTTTCCTTCCTATAATTACAGCCATGCAGGATGCAACAACAAGGTTGATATCCATGACTAGAACACAGCACTGATCACAATGCTTGGAAAGGAAGGTGGCCTGCATTAACTAACTGGAGCTCAGAGCCATGTGGCCCTGTACCCCATGATACTTGGGGCTTCCAGTGGTACATGAGAAAGCACAACCAATATCACACTCCTCAAGAAGCAAGGACAGCAGTTCCCAACGTGAAGCAGCACATAATTGCTCCGATTTCTCCTCCCTGCATATTTTGAGGTGGCTCCTGCCCCAGGGGGCAATAGCAGGGAGAAGACCATGGGCTCCGGGCAACAAGAGGCACTACACAAGAGCCAAGTATGCTCAAGGCAGAAGGCCTGTTGCTCTTTTCCCTCACCTTGTGCACTCGCTGGTAATCCAGCCAATGGATTGGGTCCAACAGCCTTCTCCAGTCAGTGGTCTTGAATGCAGATCATGTCAGGGCATGCAAACTCCTCATCTCACTAGCTGTTTAAATGTCAGGGTCTAAGTACTTTAAAATTGAGCTTTTGGGCATATTAAGATTGGCTATTCAACTTTCTGGTCTCCAAGGATTAACAGTCAGCAAGTAAAGCTTTACTATAGCTGCACACATGCTCTAGTTATAAATCTGCTGAGAAGAATGGGAAGGGTCAGAGGCTTATACGAGTGCTGGAGAGGACAGGCTGGGAGTCCCAGGTTCACAGAGCTTACTCCAGGGCCAAGAATAAAAGCTGGAAATGCTGCTTATACCTCTTAGGTGTCTGTATCTATTCCCACGTCACTCAATTGAGCTATGAAGCATCTTTTAACCTTTCCAGGAGAAGGATGAGTTATTTTGTAGTGAGATACAAAGTCAAATTGAGGAGCACTGAGAAGGTTGAATTTCAGGATACACTCTGTCAGGCTGTGGGAAGGATAATCTCTCCAAGTGAGCTGTCTGAACCATGCATCTCCCCAATTTTCAGCATCTGTTTTTTTTTTTCCTTCTAATTAACTTCCAACTAATTTCTAGCCATAGTCTCTTGTCCAACTCTTAACAATAATGCCCACTAAGGGAACTAAAGTCAAAGGTATAGTATAATCTGAATATGGACTTGATGATCTGCCCTACAGCTTTTATTTAACTGAGAAGGGATTCCCCTTTATATCATTCTTTGACATTTCTGGTAAGTGGGTGATTTGGGCTTTTATTTTTTAAGACTACTGCTGTAATTTGCCTGCATAGGCAACAGCAGGTAAGCAATGTATGAAGTACTTACACAATCCAGTCCACTGCTAATATCAAAGACAGATCATTTGTAGGAAGTCCAATGGCCTCCAAGATGATGGCAATGGTCAGAACTCCACCTGATGGGACTCCAGCTGCTCCGACGCTGGATGCAGTGGCAGTGACGCTGAAAGTGCATTCAAACAGGTTGGCACAGTTTTTGGTTAGGATGCTCACCCACCAGCCACAGCACATATTTGCCTAAAGCAGGAATTTTAACCAAAGCAAACATGTAATTTTTTTTTCCTGTTGATGCACAAAAATGGAGATGAATAAGAATGGGTCCCGAGTGCTGTTATTCTTACGCCTCTAACTAGTTCATAAAAGTATGGGCTCTGCTCTTTCTGCTGTCACTGTATATTCAGGAATTATCAAGGCTGGGACCCAGATGTCAACATACGTATGGAAAGGAAAATAAGGGGTTTGGACTAGTGGTAAAGAAACAAACTATGGGATTTGGCAGCATCCAATATGGGAAGTGAAGGCAAATGAGGGGTTAATGAGGAAGAATAGGGAAATGGGAAAGGGCTGGTTTAGAGCAACCAGAGAGACTGCAGAGGGCCGGCCCCACACCAACTTACTGGGTTAAGTGAGCTCATATCTACAGAACAGCAGCACAAGTCATCCAATGCCTGGATGGGAGGAAGGAGAGCCTCTGCCTTAGCCTCTGCTGAGGCACATGTAATGTCAGTTTGGCCATGCAATTACCAAAGTCTGGTAATAAGCAAAGGAGGGAGCATGGGAGGGAGGAAAGGGGAGAAAAGGTTTTGTGATCCCTAGCAACCATGTAAGATTCCAAATTTCTAAGTGTCCAAACTGATACAATAACTGTTAAAACAAGGTCTATACAGCCTGGCACACTCCTGCTATATCATTATACAGTATAGCCAGAGGGCTAGAATCTGAACTGCTAGTTACTAAAAATGATTACAGTAAAAAGCAGGAAGACTACAGGTTTAATGTTGTGTTTAGGAGCCAAGGCAATGTGGTCTTAATAGTCAACAACTTACAGAATAGTGAAGATCTGTCCAGCATTGAGGTCAACATTATTCAGCTGAGCAATAAACACAGCTGCCACACACTGGAATATAGCAGCTCCATCCATGTTCACAGTAGCCCCAATAGGAAGGATAAATCTACTGATCCTCTTGTCCACGCCATTGTTTTCTTCAGTACACTTGATCATCGATGGGAGAGTAGCTGAGCTACAAAGATAACAGAAAAAAGAAAATCATGCATCAATCAAGTCCTCTGTGACTCAATGTATGTATCCAGTTATTGCTATTTTTTCCAGTCCCATACCAAGATTTTCAAAATTGACTTGTAGCTTTGAGACTGACTTGAGACATCTGAAAAGGGCTTCAGTTTTAGTATCCAGAATTGTTAGTTGATTTTGAAAATCTGAGCCTTAAATTGTGTCATTTAATTGCCAAAGGGAAAGGACTTAGAGGCTGGCTCTGGTCAGCCTCAGGATTAACTGGTTAGTTTTTCCAATGATATAAAATTCAGACATTTTTTGTTTACAGCTGCTGGTAGAGAAGAAATAGTACAGCTGAACTAAATCAGCTTTGAGGCCCAGTTAAAAGGTCTGCAATGACATAAGTCTTCCCGACATCACCACAGAGGTTTGATTGGCCCAGACACTGAACTCATCTTGCAAACATTTTAGAACACAAGAGGGACTTAAACCCTTTTACAAAGGCACTATTGGAAAATTACATATCTTGGTTTTGGTTTATACTGAATAATTTTAATAGCACTCTAAGCTTATAATTTTAGGCAACTGCTGATTTTCATGCTATAACAGTCACATTATGGTACAGACCAGTTGCGTTGGTAGGGCATAGGACTGGAGGCTAGAGTTCAAGGCCCATTCCTGGCTTTGGCTGATCTGATGTCCGACTACAGGCAACCTATTTGCCATCTCTGTGTCTATCCGTCTCTTCCTTATGCACACCTTTTGACCGACTTACATACAGTGCTATACAAAGGAAGTTTGGTGCCCAGGGCAAGCCCTCAGCAGCAGCCCACCCTTGCCCCACACACAGATCGGGGGGCACATGCCTGCCTTCCCCCGCCCCCTGCTTGCCCAGGAGTACATGCAGCAGCAAAAGCTGCCCCCCCATTCCTAC